CAATTGCATGCTATGCATAGGAAAGTTGGACAGTAACTAGGGATGATAGAGAATTGATGCCTTGGAGCTGTGGTGCTGGAAAAGAGTGCTGAATATACCATGGACTGCAAGCTGAACAAACAGGTTTGTCCTGGAGAGGGTGAAGCCAGAATGCTCCTTGGAATCAAGGATCTGAAGCTTCATCTGACATAGTTTGGGCATGTTGCAAAGAGGGACTGGTCCTTGGAGAGGGATATCATGTTTAGAAGAGTGGAGGGATGGCGCAGAAGAGGAAGACCCTCGAAAAGATGGATCAACTTAGTGATTGGGGTGGTGGGAAAGAGTGTGTCAGAGACGGCAAAGTTGGCAGCGGTTAGAGCAGTGTTTAGGGCTCTTGTACATAGGGTCGCTATGAGTTGCAAGCGACTCAACGGCACATAACAACAACAACATGTCAGATAAGGAACTTATATCTAGACTTTATAAAATACTTAAGCACCACAACAAGGTAAATGTAAACAAACCAATTGAAAAATGGGCACAGGATGTGAACAGACACTTCACCAAAGAAGACATTCAGATGGTCAACAAACACATGAAAAAATGTTCAAAATCCCTAGCTCTAAGAGTGATGCAAATCAAACAGCTATGAGATATCCTCTCATCCCAGTAAGAATAGCAAAATTTAACAGAGCATCAAACATAAAATGCTGACAAGTTTGCAAAGAAACTGGAACCCTTATTCACTGTTGGTGGGAATGTAAGATGAAGCAACCACTATGGAAGGCTTTATTGTACTTTCTCAAAATGCTGGAAATAGAAATATCATTTGACCCAGCAATTCCACTGCTGGGAATATACTCTCAAGAAACTAGAACTGCCACTCAAGCAGATATATGCACACCCATGTTTATTGCTGCTTTGTTCACAATAGCAAAGTGTTGGAAACAACCCAAGTGCCCACCAACAAACGAATGGATAGAGAAGCTCTGGTATATTTACATAATGGAATTCTATGCTGTATTTAAAAACAAAGAACTAATGAAATTTTATACAAAATCAGTGACCTTGGAGGACATTATGCTGAGTGAAATATCTCAGTCACAAAAGGACAAATATTGCATAATGCCATTGTTGTAAAATGGGACTGAAATTGGGTTTTGGGGGAATCTAAGAGGGAATAAATAATGTATACTGCATTGAAACAGATGAGGGGGAGAACTATTTAGGGGGAACATATAATTAGATAGTATTGTCATGACAAGAGTCCAGTATGAAAGCTGCATAGTGGAGTGGACTGGGGGGCGGGGGAGAGACTGTATAACAATGAAATAATTTTTTATTTTTTTACTTTTTTCAAAGAGGAAAGTGAACTGGGGGCAGGGGTGGGCAGGGAGGAAAGTGCAATAAAGAATGAATGGAAATACAAAGTCTCTGTAAACTTTCATTAAAATAAAAAAGTATTCTAAGATTTTCTGTTACTTTATAGAAGACTGAATTATCATGAGCTAAAATCAACGAGAGGGCAACCAACAGAAACCAACTTTAACATCATTTTGAAGTGCATGGATACAGAGAAAGCACAATGAGACAGAATTTTCCTTTCTAAGACATACAAAACTCACTCATTTCTTGGTATCTAAAAGCATTTTATGTTGGAGTTATTTGAAAGGGAGGTTTTTCCTGAACTTCAGCTCTGAGGCCAGTCTGCATGGAGTCTTTCAAAGTATCACAACCCACTGCTCGGCCAAAGGCATGCATAAGGGTAGCTTTGGGAATTGAAGAAATTCCAAAAGCCACGTTCTAAGAAAGGCCAGGAGCAAAGCCTGAGCTAAGAAAAATGGGAAAAGGGAGGGGAATGAACCAGGAATGTGAGGGAAATGAGAAATATAGGGTACAGAGTGGAGTGAAAGGGAGCAGGGGTCTCGGAAACACAAGGACTCCAGAGACCCCTTCCACATCCAACTCCCCAACCTTCTCCCCACCATCTCAGCTCTCTCCCCCATCTCCCCCACTCCAGTTTGCTCTGCGACTGGAAAGCATTTTCCTTTTTCCTGGATTCCTACAGCTTTTTCATATACCACTGGAACTACGCTTTGTCCTCGCTGCTTTCTTGCAGCCAGCAGTGCCAACTGCCTTATAGTGTTTATGGTTGCACTGAGCGCTCCCAGCGTGGTGATGCCGCGTTGCCATGGAGTGGAGGGGCGACGATCCCCTTTGGGGTGCAGGAGCCGGACAAGGGCAGGCTGGCACGACGCCGAATGAGCCAGGGCTCCGCGAAGCGCCCATGGCACGGAGCCTCGGTGGCGCGCGCCCTTGCACTTGGCAAGGCCTCCTTGGCTGGCCTCCCCCTGGCGCAGCGCCGGACCGCGTCCAGTCCCGCCCCGGCCAGGATGAAAGGAGCGGATTGAGCGGCGCCCGCTCGCGTGTACCGGTTTTGTGCTCTGGGTAGATAGCGTGCTGTTTCCTTGTCTCATCCGCCAGTCCTCAAGCTGCGGCTCAGCGCGCACTGGTCGCCCACCCATCCCTCCGCTCCTCACCAGCCTCGTGGTCATGGTCGCCTCCTCCGCGCGGCCCGCAGTCCTGGCCTTGACAGGGCTGGCGTTGCTCCTGCTGCTCTGCCTGGGCCCAGGTGAGTGAGGCGATGGCAGGTTCTAAGCGGTAAAGTGAGGTTAGGTTTGATCCGAAGTGACTGCTGCAGAAACTCCGGGAAGAGGAGATGGGTGATGGATGTAGCAGGAGTAGGGACCCCATCTTTAGCCAGCACAATGTGCAAGAGTTGTTGGGGACCTCATGTTTTGTTGTTGTGCACCATCGAGCCTGAATTGACTCATAGCTGACCCTCAGTAAGTTTTCAAAGGCAGTAAATTGCATGAGAGAAGATTGTTCATCAATTTTCCTGCAGCCATGTTTAGGGGTTTGCAATATATGAGTGAGGAAGTGACATTTTGGATTTAGGCAGGCCAACAGCTGTGGGGTAATTGTGAGAAAGATCAAGAACCAGAAGTCCAGAGTTGAGGGACCGAGGGTAGGGGATGGGAAGAAATAAGAAATATACTGGAATTAATATAATGGCAAAGAGGTAATGAAGATTTAACAAGGGTGGTATCCTCCCAGACCTGGGGTGGGTCAGGGTGAGGGAAGGCAAATGGCATTATTTCCTCCATTTCTTTCTAGCCAGTCACTAGGCAACAACATTTCTGCTTCATTTCATTCACGGTAAGGTCAGGTTCCAGCTTTGAAAATCCCTGGGCCATCCCTCACACCCCAGACAGGCCAAACACTCCTTTTCTACTTCACAGACTCCTCAGTAAATCGGTTAAAAAGCCCAGATTCCTCCCATATAAAAGTGCACCTTTTGTTGAAGTCCCCCAAAGGAAGCAGTGTGATGGGTACAGACGTTTGACCCTTAGGAAACTAAAGCCACGTCATAAGAAAAGGCAAAGCTCTGTGCCAGGGAGACGTAAGATGAGGGAGGTAGGGGAGCAATAAAATCATAAGCTATGATGGAGAATGCAAAAAGAGAGAGAGTTTTTGAGGGGAGCTTGCTGTCCTCCCAGATCTGCAATAAAGTGCTTAGGATATGGGGGGAGGAAAGAGAGAGTTCAGACTGGACTGGGACAGGATAATATGGGGTAGAAAAGAGGGGCAATGAGGATCGGCATCACAAATCCTTCCCTATTTGCAGAACTGTTACTGAAATAGTTCTGTTTTTTCCTAATTGATATACATTGCATGTATAATCCTTTATGGATTCAGAAGTGGCCTCATGTAAAGTCCATGGGACAGGTGAATCCCTCATTTTATTGCTAAGGGTACTGGTGCTGAAAGGAGTTCAATGACTTGTGCTAGTAGACTCAGGCCACCAGACCCTGCATCTGTATTGGTGCTTTACCCGCTAAAAGCTAGAGGGCACTCGGTAATGTAAATTGAAGACACACTGAGACGCTCATCTTCTACAGTTTGCCTATTTAAATAACAGGTATGGAAAATCAAACTTGCTGTTGATGGAAAGCCAACCTTATTCAGAGGAGAGGCCCTCCGGTCATTTGAAAAGCAAGTGGTTTGTCCAAGTTGGGAGGATTACTGTTGTTCTGGTTACAACACAGGACTTTTCATAATCAGTGATTTCCATTGCATAACATTCCATTTCCCTCTTATTGTCCCTCCTATTTTAAGTTGTACACACATATGAATGAACATTGCTTATAAATTATTCCTTTTTTAGGACCTATAATTTATCTAATTTCATATTAATAATTTGGCAGTAAGACTTGATTGAAATATCACCATCGAACTGCAATGTAAGTTCTTATGCTAAAAGAATTATATATTATAACCCAACTCAAGCTTACTGCCATCAAGCCAGAATCGACTCATAACTGACCCTCCATTGAGCTTCTGTGGTGATACATTGCATGGGAAGAGAGTCCCACGAGGCTGCTGGTAGATTCCAGGCCTTTGGGTTAGCAGGACAACTTCCTGGAGACCATACTATTAGAAGTCTAACCTGGCTTTATTATACAAAAACATTTAAGAAGGGGGGGTGGGAAATGCCATCTCTTAATACCTTTTAATTATCAGTCAGTACCCACAAAGGGGCATCTTGTCATTCTGAAACTGCTGGACAGTGGAATGCCAGGTATGTTGTTATGTGTTGTTGAGTCACCTGAGACTCAGAGTGACCCTATGTACATAAGCTCTAAAAGCTGCCCTATCCTGCGCCAATCTCATCGTCTCTGACTGTATCCTATTGTCCAGTCACTGAGTCAGCCCATCTCATTTGGGGTCCTCCTCTTCTGTCCCTCCATCATTCCAAGCATGATGTCACTCTCCAAGGACTGGTGCTTCTTGGGCACGTGCCCAAAGTTTTTGAGAATGAACCTGAAAATCCTTGCCTACAGGGAGCAAACTGGTTTCACCCTCTCTAGGACTGACCTGTTTGTTCTCCTGGAAGTCCACGGTATGTTCAACATTCTTCTCTCGCACCACGACTCAAAGGCATTGATCCCTCTTCTGTCACCCATAGTTATTGTACCGCTCTCTGATGCATAGCAAGCAATTGTGAAGACCATGGCCTGAGTCAAGTGCACCTTAGTCTCCAGAATGACATTGTTGCTCTTCAGTACTCTAGAGAGGTCCCTGACAGCATACTTTTCTAGTACAATTCACCTTTTGATTTTCTGACTGCTTGTACCAAGAGTGTTGATTGGGGAACCAAGCTGGCTGAAGTTATCAACCATTTCAATCTCTTTTCTGTCCATCATGAAGTTGCCAATCATCCCAGTGGTGAGAATTTTTGTTTTCTTGATGTTGAGCTTCAATCCATATTGAAAACTATAATCCTTGATCTTCTGTAGTAAATACCTCACGTCCTCTTCAGTTTTACCAAGCAAGGTTGTGTCATCTGCATAACGCAGTTTGTAGACCATCACAGTGACTGATGATCTTGGAGTAAAAGACTCCATAATACAGAAAAAGAAATCACAGCTATCTATTTGTCCTTTATTCAAGGAAATTTAGTGTAGCTTGGTGTACAGTTATATTTATTCATAAATGGTTTAGTGTGTAGTAATTGGCACAGTAACAAGATTTATAATTCATAATTAGGACTTATTCCCGCTTTTCAACAGTAAAACTGATTTTGGTAGGGTTCACATTTTCAGATAACACACACCCCAACAGTTGCTGCAGGAAATTGCAGCCTTTTTGCTAATGCCTGAAAACAATGTCTAATTCAACACCAAAACCACATTCTATTCATTAATTGTTAAGCACTTTTACAGAAGGCAAACAGATGGGGGGATGATATTGAATTCTTTGTGTGCTATCCTGTGAGTTGTTAGAGATCAACAATGTTAAGATATTCATGAATGCTAATTTTAGTGCCTGAGGAACTTATCCATCTTATTTGACAAATTTTGTGGATTTTCTTAATTGAGTCTTGAGATTGGAAGGGAAGCACAACCTTTAGGAATAATTCCATCCTCATCTAATTGAATAATTCCCTCCTGTCAAATCCTCCTCTCCATTTATTTATGCTCAAACATTTCTAACAACTGAGAATGTCTTGAGGCAACTCACTCCATCTTTGGACGGCTGTCTAGCTGTTGGAAACATTACCTCATACCCTAATCTACAACGTGGTGTTCTCTTATACCCCTAGCTTTTCTCTTAGAAGTTTAATTTCTCCCAGTTGTTCTTCTTTAAGTTCTTTTGCTTTTTTCTCATATCATACCTTCCCAGGTCTTTATACCCTGAGCATGATCCTCTGACCTCAATTCCAGTTTTTCTGCAAACTTTTTAAACTGATACTGAATTATCTAACTTAATAGAAGGATAATGGGATTAAAGCAGTCATAGAACTAAAACAGGACAATTTCCCACCCTTTCACCCCAAGAAGCTGTCCTTTTATAAACGTGGGCTAAGATTGCTATTTTTTTTTTAACTACCTCACAATAGACTAATACCAAGTTTAGACAGAAAACCAATGAATCTCTTCGACAGGGTCCCACACGTTTCAGTAACACAGACAGACTTTCTTTGGGAGAAGTGACCACAGCATAATCTGTGTCTCCTCCCACCTATCAGAGTCCCCCCTCCCTGAGAGATGTCACAGTCCCTAGAGATTCTTCCAGCCATTTCTTGCTGTGCCTATGCCTGTAAAACTGGGGTAGCCATATATCGTCCAAACTGGAATACTTTAGAGTGTGAAAGGAGGCATTATCATTAATTATGGCTGGACATCAAGCATGACTGAGATTGTCCTGGGAACATGGGAAGTGTCACCACCTATTCATGAATCGCGAGGTTGGTGTGTTGAGTGTTAAACAGGCTGGGAGAGTCCTATTAGGCTTTCTGGCCCTCCTCAGAGCCCAGGCCAGCAAGTTCCTTGACTGGCACAGTTATTCTAATGACAATCAGGTAGTGTTCAAAAAGGATGCCAATGTGAATACCCTCAGAGGACTCGGTAAGTATCTGAAGTAGATGGAGCTTATAGATATGAGATGGAATAAATGATTTTGACCTGAAAGAAATAATCAAACCCACTGTCATTGATTTGGTTCTGATTCATAGTGACTCTTCTTTAATTGCCATGGTTGTAAAATCCTTATGGGAGAGGCGACTGCCTATTTTTCTTCTGCAGAGCAGCTAGTGGATTTGAACTGCTGACGTTTTGCTTAGCAATATGGCAGATTATGCACTATGCCACCAGGACATCTTTTTGATCTAAAGGAGTTCAAATCCACCTTTGGTAGGTACTGGGTTCTCTAATAAAATGCATCCGCAGACAAGAGTTCATCTATAGGCAGCTAGTTGTGACCTTTGACTCTGAATGTGTTTTTTCTCTGCAGCTACATGGTAAATTTCTTAAACAGAAGTTCTTAATCTTGTCTGGATCACTAACACAATTTGAAATTGTGCTTAAAACTAGACTATTTGCAGAAAAAGGTGTCCTGATGGCATAGTGCACCGCATGTTTGGTTGTTAACCACAGGTCAGCAATCTGGAGTTGCCAGCTGCTCCCGGGGATAAAGGCGGACAGTCTCTTCCCTGAAGTGGTGACAGCCAGGGAAACCTCACAGAGGGTTGCCAGGAGTCAGAATCAAAACAGTGGCAGTGTGTGTAGA